TAAAATCTTACTGAAGATAATTCAAAAACATTTGCAGCAGTATATTGACAGAGAGCTTCCAGAAATGCAAGCTGGATTCAGAAGAGGACTTGGAATGAGGGATATCATTGCTGATGTCAGATGGATCTTAGCTGAAAGCAAAGAATACCAGAAAGATGTTTACTTGTGTTTTATTAATGAAATTTATTAAGATATTTATTAATTAAGTTTATGAAGATGTTTACTAGTGTATTATTAATTAAATAATAATTTTATTATTATTTATTCTACTGTGTAGCTCATAACAAATTATGGATAACACTGAGAAGAATGGAAATTCCAGAACACTTAATTGTGGTTACGAGGAACCTGTACATAGACCAGGAGGCTATCATTCAAACAGAACAAGGGGATACTGCATGGTTTAAAATAAGAGTGTGTGTCAAAGTTGTATCCTGTCACCATACTTATTCAATATGTATGCTGAGCAAATAATCCAAGAAGCAGGACTGTATGAAGAAAAATGCTGCATCAGGATTGGAGGAAGACTCATTAACAACCTGTGATATGCAGACGACACAACCTTACCTGTGGAAAGGGAGGATGACTTGACGCACTTACTGATGAATGATGAAGATAGAAGACTACAGTCTGCAGTGTGGCTTACACCTCAACATAAGGAAAATGAAAATCCTCACAACTGGGCCAACGAGCAGCATCACAATAAATGGAGAAAAGATTGAAGTTGTCAGAGATTTCATTTTACTTGGATCCACAATCAACAGCCATGGAAACAGCAGTCAGGACATCAGACGACAGTTTGCACTGGACAAATATGCTGCAAAAGTCCTCTTTACAGTGTTGAAAGGCAAAGATGTCACTTTGAAGACTAAGGTGCACCTAACCCAAGGCACAGCGTTTTCAATCACCTCATATGCTTGTGAAAGCTGGACAATGAATAAGGAAGAACGAAGAAGAGTTGATCCTTTTGAGTTGCAGTGTTGGCGAAGAGCTGAAACTACTATGGCCCATTAGAAGAACGAACACATCTGTCCTGGAAGAAGTGCAGCTAGAATGCTTCTTGAAAGTGAGGATGGCCCGACTTCATCTCACCTACTTTGGTCATGTTGTCAGAAGGACAATTACCTAGAGAAGGATGACATGCTTGGTAAAGAGTAGAGTCAGCAAAAAAGGGGAAGGCCCTCAATGAGATGGGTCGACGCGGGGCTGCAATGGCGGGCTCAAGCATGACTAGGACTGTGAGGACGGCACAGGCCCGAGCAGTGTTTTCTTCTCTTGCACATGAGTCACTATGGGTCAGAGCCGACTCGGTGACACCTGACAACACCAACAACATCTGCGTCTATGTTTGTATCAGTGTCTCATGTCTATTCCTATACCTGTGTGTGTGTCTCTATCTATAAAGGAGCTCTAGTGTAAATAGTTAAGCACTTGGCTGCTAACTAAAAGGTTGATGGTTCAAATCCACTTGCTGCCCCATGGGAGAAAAGACGTGATGATCGGCTCCCATAAGGATTTCAGCCTACGAAACCCTGTGGAGCAGTTCTCCTCTGCCCTGTAGGGTCACTGTGAGTTGGGATTGACTTGATGCCATACAGCAACATCTACATGTACCTCTCTCTGTCCATCAGTGTTGTTGCTGTTAGGTGTCGTTGAGTCGTCTCTGACTCATAGCAACCCTGTGTACAGCAGAACAAAACACTGCCCAGTTCTCTGCCAGCCCCACAATCCCTGCTATATACTTCAGCCCATCGTTGTAACCACTGTGTCAGTCCATCTTGTTGAGGGCCTTCCCCTCTTTTGTCGACCCTCCACCTTACCAAGCATGACATCCTTCTCCAGAGAATGGTCCCTTCTGACAACATGACCAAAGTAGGTGAGGCAAAGTCTGGCCATTGTCCCCTCCAAGGAGCATTCCGGCTGCACTGCTTCCGGGACAGATCTGTTAGTTCTTTCAGCAGTCTGTGGTACTTTCAGTATTCTTCACCAGCACCACAACTCCAAAGCATCAACTCTTCTTCAGTCTTCCTCATTCATTGTCCAGCTCTTACTTGTATACGAGGTGATTGAAAATATCATGACTCGTGTCAGGCACACCTTAGTCCTCAAGGAGACATCTTTGCTTGTCAGCACTTGAAAGAGGTCTTTTGCAGCCGATTTGCCCAGTGCTATACGTCATCCGTCATCTGGGAGCTCTGGTAGCATAGTGCCTAAGGCACTTGACTGCTAACCAGAAGGCTGGCAGTTCAAACCCACCAGCCACTCCTCAGAAGGAAGGTTGGGCATTCCTACTTCCGTAGTGATACTGCCTCGGAAACCCAAGGAGGGGTTGCTATGAGTCGGGGCCGACTCGATGGCAAATAACAAGAACAATACGTCATCTGATATCCTGACTGCTGCTTTCATCAGCTTGATTATAGAACAAAGTAATATGAAGTCTTTGACAACTTCACTCTTTTCTGCATTTATCATGATGCTGCTTGTAGGTCCCACTGTAAGTATTTTTGTTTTCTTTATATTGAGGTGTAAGCCCTACTGCAGACTGTAGTCTTCAATCTTTATCATTCTCACTTTCGGTAAAAGTTGTGTCATCAGTGTATCGCAGGTCGTTAATGATTCTCCCTCCAATCCTGATGCCACGTTCTTCTTCATATAGTCCAGCTTCTCGGATTATTTGCTCAGCATACAGAATGAATAAGTATGATGAAGGGATACAACCCTGACGCACTCCCGTCTTGATTTTAAACCATACACTGTCCCCTTGTTCTGTTCAAATGACAGCTTCCTGCTCTATGTACACGCCCTGATGCATAAACATGAATACAATTAAGTGTTCTGGAATTCCCATTCTTCTCAATGTTATCCACAATTTGTTATGATCCACACAGTCAAATGCCTTTGCATAGTCAATAAAACACAAGTAAACATCTTTCTGTTGTTCTTTGCTTTGAGCCGAGATCCATCTGACATCAGCAATGATATCCCTCATTCCACATCCTCTTCTGAATCCAGCTTGCATTTCTGGAAGTGCTCTGTCAATATGCTGTCAATATACAATATACATATATATACTGTATCTCTATCTATGTAATACATGGATTTATGTATGTGTATATATGAAAGTAAGTATATGTATAGATGTATATATTTATGTGCATATATATGCATACATGTATGTATACATGTATGGCTTTGAGATTATTATATTTTTATAGGACAAACGTAGTTAGAAAATTTAGGAATGTAGACATATAACTTTGTCAGTGACTTATGACACAAACAAGTGAGCAATAAATGTATTGGTATTTATTTCTGGACATTTTTCTGGATGCATAATTAACATCTTTTCTTACCTTGCTCTACTCAACAGTATAAAAATGGGTGTCTTCCTATTTCACTTCACCTTGTTTCATAAAATGTGCTTTGATCCCCCAAGATGTGATTGTGTTGGGTGGCAGGGCACAGCTGCTTAGCTGCACCTGGGCTGCTGTTTGTCATGCAGTTACATAGACCCTTCTAGGGAGAAGCTGTCCTTGAGCTCTTTCACTAGTTCCAATGACTTTCTCAAGTCAGTTTCTACTGTCCATCAGTGCATGTGGATACGTACTTCCACATGGTTTCCACTCGCAGTCTCACCATCCGAGGGACTTGCGCTTACATCCCTGTGTTTATGCACCAATGGTTACGTACTTCCACGTGGTTTCCACTCACAGTCTCACCCTCCCAGGATGTGCACGTATGTCCCTGTGGTTATACACCAGTGGATACGTCCTTCCACGTGGTTTCCACTCACAGTCTCAGCATCCGAGGGAAATGCACTTACGTCCCTGTGTTTGTGCATCAGTGCGTGTGGATACGTCCTTCCACGTGGTTTCCACTCACTGTCTCACCATCCCAGGATGTGCATGTACGACCCTGTGGTTACACACCAGTGGATATGTCCTTCCATGTGGTTTCCACTCACAGTCTCAGCATCTGAAGGACATGCACTTACATCCATGTGTTTTTGCATCAGGGCATGTGGATACCTACTTCCACGTGGTTTCCACTCACAGTCTCAGCATCCGAGGGACATGCACTTACATCCATGTGTTTATGCATCAGGGCGTGTGGATACATCCTTCCACACGGTTTCCACTCACTGTCTCACCATCCCAGGATGTGCACATACGTCCCTGTGGTTACACACCAGTGGATATGTACTTCCACTTGGTTTCCACTCACTCACAGTCTCAGCATCTGAGGGACATGAACTTACATCTATGTGTTTATGCATCAGGGCGTGTGGATACGTCCTTCCATGTGGTTTCCACTTACAGTCTCAGCATCTGAGGGGCGTACACTTCTGTACGTGTGTTTATGCTTGCACTTCTCTGTCACACTAGTGATCTGAAGTGAGCATGTGTTATGTTAGCAATTTACCAGTGTTTTAAAAATTGTATTCAAACAGTTTGTGTTTTAAAGAACAGAAAACAATGACAGTAAAAGAATTTTCAGTGAGCATTAAAGAGGCACAGCCTTCTCTCCCAGAACCTGGGCGCTGTCATGGTTCGGGTGCTCTGTGTGTTGTTGCTGGGACCCCAGTGCTTCTTGGCACGTGGACTCCTTCAGGAGGTGACACACCACTGCTTCTAGGAGAGCATCGGGTACACCTGTGGGGGCCTTGGCATCCTTCTGATGATGACCCTCTCTAGTTCTTCAACTCGGGAAGGTCGAGTTTAACTTCGCTGTCACAGGTGGTTTGTGATGTGGAATTTATGTTATGAAGAGGGCAGCCGCCCAGTTTGAACATCACATTTATATCGTATTTGCAGATAATGATTACAGTATGCGGATCCTGTTAGCTGGCTTTATACTTTCCAATAATAATCCACTTTGAATGATGTACACTGCAGAAAGAAGAATGCTATTTAGTTTTCAAAAGAAGCGACAGAAGGCCAGCTCATTGCACGTGTGCGGTTCGAGGTCTGTTTTCTGATGTGTGTCCTTTTGACTTCCAGGCAGTGGCTCAAGTCGGAAGACATTCAGAGAATCTCGCTTCTGTTCTATAACAAGACACTAGAGAAAGAAGTAAGCAATGTCTCCTTCCACATCAGTTGGCCTTTCTGAAATTTTGGCTTTAAAGATTCCTTGGCAGAATTGTGTTTGTGTGCTTTTCTTTTGTTTGTTGTTATTGTTTTACATGGGGCACTTGAACGGCTCTCCCTGCATCCAAGCGTTTCTGGCTCCATGCATATGTTCTCTGCCGTGTGTCTTATTACCAGCTTGCTCTCTGTGGCCAGCCACCACTCTTAACACACCGGGAAGTAAATGGTGTTTACATTGCGTCTGAGATCAGCCAACAGGACAGGGCTCCGTGTGCTGTATGTGAAATTTCCTCGGAAAACGTTTTTAAAAGAAAATGAAATCATTCCTGATAGATTTACAGTGTCTGTACACAAATAATTCCTTTTATCTTTTTGGCAAAACTCTGAGATTTATGTGCAGCACCTGTTTGGGAAAGGAAAAGCTCCGGACCCTTAGGCTGTGTTGCCTTTTAATGGCTCCTAAAATGTGAACTATTAGAGGCAGAAACGAATAAGGACTCATTGAGCTTTAACATGTCCAGTATAACATGAACTGGCCCAGACGAATGAAGTCCTTACTACAGAAAGGACCACCGCTTTCTGGGTCAGCCTTCCTTCTTTGCCTTTTGTCTTGTGCTGATCAGAAAAGGGACTCAGAGATAATTTCTGCCATCCAGCCACGTAATTACAGGCTGGCTTTGAACCAAAGCTATCGTGGTAATGGCAGTCATCACAACCCTGGTATTAAAATTCTTTTGAGAAAATTCAGTTCATGGCTGTATGGATGTTGAATGGAAGTGTCAGATGCCCCAATTCCAGAACTCCCCCGTAGTCTCTGCCACAGTTCCATAAACACTGCCTTTCTGTCAGCAATCTGTAGGTGCACTTGTCTACAATAGAGGTTTGATGTGATGTTTTCATTGCCCACCTTCTCCTTGAACAACTCTAACAAATGCAAATGGCTAGGTATAGTTTCTGTGTTAGCTACTGCCTTCTGACAGATGTCCCTTTTTCTTTATTAAAAACACAGTGACAGTTCCCACACCTATGCTGCTACTGCAGCCATTAAGAAACGTACAGGTTTAATGGGATGCATAGAATGGAATCACACTTCTGATTTCTCATCAGGCTGACGTAGGTTCCTCACACACATGCACAGTCTCCTGGAGATGAAGTCATAAAACACACAAAAAAACAGGCCCACTGCCGTGGAATGGATTCCAACTCACAGTGCCCCTAGCGGACAGAGTGGAACTGCCCCAGAGAGTCCCCAAGGCTGTCAGTCTTCACAAAAGCAAAACCCAAACCAAACCCACTGGAAGCAAAGCCCAAACCACACCCACTGCCGCGGGGTCAATTCTGACCCACAGCGCCCCTAGAGGACAGAGTGGAACTGCCCACAGTGTCTCCAAGGCTGTCACTCTTCACGGAAATAAAGCCCCAACCACACTCACTCCTGTGGAGTTGATTCCGACTCCCTAGAGGACAGAGTGGAACTGCCCCAGAGGGTTTCCAAGGCTGTAATCTTTACAGAAGCAGATGGCCTCATCTTTTTCCCACAGAGTGGCTGGTGGGTTCAAACTGAGAACCTTTCCTTTAGCAGCCCAATGCTTTAACCACAGTCACCAGAGTTCCTTTAAGTCACAAGAAAAAAACAAAAATACTCCATTAGGTACAAGTGGCCATCATTAAAACTGATAAAAAGCAGCTCTGCTTCTACGCTCCATGTGCATGTCCTTGAGAGGCGACTTGGAGACAGAAGTTTCAGACCGCAGAGCAGGAAGCCCTCTCCATCCACCTGAGCCTGGCTGCTCTTCAGGCCTCGGAGGCCAAAGACACAGCAGGCAGCGAGAGCGCAAAGGCCACTGGCGAGCGTCTGCACTTCTGAGGCCATGGCCTGAGGAATGAACGTTTCCCCACAACTCGGGAAACAGCCTGAGCATGGATGGCTTCCGCAGCCTGCCAGGGTGTCCAGCAGGATCCGGCAGAAATGTCTACACAGCTCTGTCTCCCTCGGTGTTACTGTAAAACCCTCTTTATGAGAGTTGTCTTTAAGCCATGATTGGCAGCGTAGTTCCAGAGTGATTCTGCCTGAGTGCAAATCCTGGCTTCACCATGCGCTCACTGTCCCCTGCGTGCTCCCTGTCCCCCGTGTGCTCCCTGTCCCCCGTGTGCTCACTGTCCCTCGTGTGCTCACCATCCCCCATGGGCCCACTGTTCCCTGTGTGCTCACTGTCCCCCATGTGCTCACTGTCCCCTACATGCCCACTGTCCCCTATGTGCCCACTGTCCCCCATGTGCTCACTGTCCCCTACATGCTCACTGTCCCCTACATGCCCACTGTCTCCTATGTGCCCACTGTCCCCTGCATGCTCACTGTCCCCCATGTGTTCACTGTCCCCTACATGCCCACTGTCCCCCATGTGC